AGGGGAACGCCTGCGGTGCGTATGGCTATGGCTACTCCCCTCCAGTCGGCCGCAACGGCCCGTGTGCGCTATGATGTACTCCATGTACCTACAACAAAAATGTGTCCGTAGAAAAACTACTATCTTATGTACTAATCGAATTGTTAACAACGTTCCAAGAAACGGGAAGGTTCTCTATATTTGACGCATATGTTTTTTTAAATTATGTTCAACTACTTCTCGAAAACGGCTGATCCGTTTTAAATGATTTTTATTAAATATAAATATAAATTAAAAGATTTTTTTTTCGTCCACAAGGTTGGAAAAATAAAGTAATGATTTTAATTTAACTACTTAGACGACATTTTAATTGTTACCTTCTGAAGACGGTTTGTATTTCATATCAAATATCAGTCAAAATATTTACAAAAAAACGCTGATGAAAGTAAATTGAATAAAGAATAAAATTTTGTACTTAAATTATCACTATGAGTTTATTCTAAAATATATTTTTAACGTAATTAATGTATCTTTTTTAGTGGACAAAGTGCCAGTTGGCGCAAGGATCGGTATGTTCGTTTTGCTTCCTCCATAATATAATTGATAGAATCAGGCGTTATTTACTTTGCGGAAATCCACTATAATAAAGATATTGATTAATTTGCAACCTTCCGCTAACTAAATACAATGATGTGTCTTACCTGGATTGAAGAGGTATTATCGTCGATGGTGTGTGTTTCCTGGAATAGTGGTGTTGGGAGTAGAGTAGTGGTGCTGGGACTCGTGGTGACGGAATTAGTGCATGCAATTGAGGGAGGGCGGGAGGTGCTCTTCAATCCAGGTAAGACACATCATTGTATTTAGTTAGCTGAAGGTTGCAAATTAATCAATATCTTTATCCTCCATAATATTCACATTCATTCATTCATTACAAAAACCCATTGCTGAACATAAGCCTTCCCGATAGGCAATCATCCTGGGAATGAGGTGGTCGATTCCAAGCTGTTTCTAAAATAAATTTTGTAATTTTTTTGTGACGATTGACATTTTATACTTTATTTTAAAAAAAAGTCCCGCTGGGTTTCTTGCTGGTTCTTCCCAGGACAGAGGTTTTTTTCGAACCAGTGGTAAAGTAAAATATTGACTTTCAATAACAATTACTTGTAATCTAAATTGAATAAAAAATTATTTTATTCTATTCTACAGATTGCTTAACAGGAATATATGCCATAGTCGTCACGTAAGGCAGATGGGCTGGTTATCATATCTAATGCAAACTTGTTAACCGCAGTTTTTTAATTAATTTGAGTTGTTATCAAGATTTGAGGATGTTATCCTGTTTCATTTTCCTAGACTCCCATGGGATGATGTGGGGTGGTGCATTCTCTTAAGTCATAATCACACGGCCCCGCGCGATATTCACAGGCTCACCTTTAGTTATGTTTTTATGAAAGTTGTTATTCTTACGGAAGAAAGAGTTACAAACATGCACATTGTTCCAACTGATGGTAAGTTAATGCTATGGCTTAAAGTTACCACTGAGGACTAAGTTGGCATGTCTCATTACTAGTAAAAAGGAACTTCAGCGGACTAACGGGGTGTCAATGGTCCTGTGACCTTCGTTATTTGAACCAGGTTGTAGATGTCACTGAGCTGAAGTAGGTAAACACTTACTATCTGCTGGACTTTACAAGTTTCTCACTCAAAGCTTATTTGTAAAACAAAGGACCACGGCCACGAGTGGGCAGTGTGGAGGTTGTGACACAGTCCCAGTTTGAACTCCTGGAGGATATGGTGAAGCAGTTAATTCAGACGGCGGCGCCACTTGCACCTCTCATTCTACCCGATGACGAACAGTTTAGAAGCGATCTGCTGAAGGGCAATGTAACCCTCACCGAAGCTATGCAGGCTATGCAGGTGAGAGTTCTATAGATTGGTACCCATACTCCGATCCTTTGTCAATTTTTTTATATAGTAAGGCTGACCAATGAGCACACAGTCTACCTGATTGTAAGTGAATACTGACATTTACACCTATCCTCGATTAAAAATTAAAATACAGTTGCGTTGTTAACCCTTGAAGACTAAGATGGAATTTACCGTTTCCAATGAAAAGGGGCTTCCGTTTTTATACTTAACATACGAAACATAGCAGCATCAAGCTGCTATATTAAGTTGATATTCTGTAGAGCGGAGTTTTGCCCCGGTTGAGCCGACCTATTCGTGCTATTACCATAATATAGCTGTAGCGTGAAGGAAAAAAGAGTGCACCCGTGCGGCGCATTCACACACACTCGGAAACTATAATTCTGTAATAATTATCTATATTATTGAAATATCTTTTTATTATTTATTTAGAGCATGGTTGTGTTATACCTATAACCATCAAGACATAGATGTCACATACTAACAATTCGAATTTAGGCTTGGCGTACGTGACGGCATAAACGAGATGATTATACAGCCATCTATCGAAAGTCATAAGATTTTTATAGTATTTCTAATAGTCGTCATTTTACGGCATCTTTTTAACTTCCCGCTATGAACTATGAACATCAATAATTTTCAATAAATGGGAAGAGTTGGTTTCACCCCAGTTTTCGAAGCTATTGTGACTATTCCTACGAGGATGTCACTATGTCTATATGTATGTGTGTAATATGTGTGTATAACTTTTAAACAGATGTAACGGTCAATCCAAAATCTAATCAGCCCTTAAACCTAGAAACGCCGTCGATTGCTGCGAACCGCTGCAAAATCGGTTAATGCGTTGTAATTGATGACGAAAATTTCAAAAAGTGAATTCTTTTTCACATAACTTTTAAATTTATAGTCTAATTATTTTTTATAATAAATTTTATTATTGTTCTTAAAAAACCATGCTACTGTTACTGCTACAAAGCGGATGTTCGGCCTCATATGTAATTTCTGTTCACATCTCCGGGCCGGGGCACTACAGTGCCAGCTTTTTCACTTTATTTTTATTTACACATACACCTCGATTGCCACCAATTACATCAAAAACGGTTGATCCGTTTGAAAGTCATCGTTGCCAAAAATTAAAAAAAGTGTTTTTTTTTTAATAACTTCGAAATTTCTGCTTGGATCGTTTTTGATATGTCGAGTCACAGAATAAATAATAGTACTACGTAGTTGAGTTACATATAGGTTTGTGAAAATATTTGTCGAGCGTTTTGAGATCAAACATAGCGGGAAGTTCCAGGGATGGCCTGCAGGATTAACAGATTTTTTTTATATAAGAGGGGCTAAACGGCTATTTCGATCACCTGATGGTAAGTGACTACCGGCGTCCGGGTAGGCTCTTTTCTTAAAGGTTTCTAAGTCGTGTCGGTCCGAAAAAATCGTTAGTGGCAGTTGATTCCACGAGGAAGTTGCGCGAGAAAGTAAACTTTTATTAAATCACATACTGATGGATTGCCAATCATTCAGATGGTATAGATGGTATTGCAAGCTTATCGCGGTGTGCGATGGTAAAATTTAGCGGCTGGAATTAGTTCGAACAATTCCTCTGAGCACTCCTCGTGGTAGCTGCGACAGATTACGCAAAGAGATGCAACATCTCTTTGCAGCGCCACTGAGACAAACCTATCAGAAAGAACTTGGTCGTCGATGATTCGAACCGTTTTGCGCTGGATGCGATTGAGTACAGTACAGTATATTTACCGGAAGAAGAACTGTACGGACCACAGTTTACGATTTGTACAGCTTCTCTGATAGTTGATTTAGTTAATATGTAGCTATGTATTTTAAAATTAGTTTAAGACGATGTTACGTTGGTTTAAGTGGCGTATAAAGTAAGCACACGTGTTGTTACTTTATCAGTTTACTACACACTAATGGCGCAATTACACTTGGTCATTAGCTCGTATTCGATTGCCTATGGTATTCGGACAAACCACTACCACCAAGTGTAAATGAACGGAGTCGAGGACGCCCGTTTTCGTGCAATCTATTCCAGCTTTCGTTTTGGTTTTATTCCAACAGAGAGATAGCTTCAACGACGAGTAAAACAATGTAAATAATGCCCCTCAACCATCCGGCCTATGATGGGCCAACGTGTGGATTGCGTAGTTGTGTCGGATGGCTTACGGCGCGTGCGATGGTCTTGGGGATGGCGACGGTGTCGGTTTTTCCGCCGCACATCAAGGGTAGTGGGCCAGCGATGGCGGTACGCATCTACACTTGGCCCATTCCACAGATTTGAGCGCTCGACGATTGAGTGTGGACGTTATGTTTTGTTTATTAATTAACGAATTAAAAATGTCGAATATGTGGCCTCACAATGAAGTCATAAAATTTTAATCATAGGGCTACTAAAATCAGAATATATACATAATTTGTTTTTTATTTATTTTGAATAATTATTTATTAAATTACTAATTATAATTATTTAATTATTTGTGTTTAATGAAAACTAAATTGACTTAGGATATATTTAGATCTGGATAGATAACATCCACCATCTTCTTCTACGCTATTTCTTTTTGATAACTCTACTCTTGTACACATTAAGAAAAAACGGTACGTGTTGTATAGATATATTGCCACAGCGGCTAAATTCATCCACGTCCATTTCGAAACTGAGGTGTTTGACATCCCGATGTCATAGTTAGCCTGGCTACCTTTAGTTGTTGATATTATTTTGGTACGATTTACGCAGAATGAGCTTACAGTACCTTGAAGTCTTGCAGCGGTATGCTTGAGTTTGGATTCAATTTTATTAATTATAAGATCCCAAGCAAATGGTAGTACCCATCCATCTTTTCTATTGAAATTAGGATGTTTTTTTAATTTCAATAGCCTCGCGAATCATCCCAAGTAGGAATCGGTGTTCTTTTGCGAGGGTTTGTGATCTATTAAATCTAATGCAACGACGGGGTCGATCTTAAACATGTTCACAGACCGCAGACTTCATGGAACGTCGGTGCTTCACGTCAGCTATATACGTGAAGTCTGCATTTTAAATATTTTTTGTCATATATGAAACTTTGAATGCCGTATTAAATGAAATCCGAAAAAAAAAACGTCCCTAATAAGTACTTACTATTTGTACATAGATCATTACTCGCACATGACATCACAGTCACCACCGTGGCGTGCTCCCGTAGCGTAATGTCGATTTGCGATGTTTAAATTCGCTCCTAGACTTCGCATTTGAGTAAATATACACCAAGATGCAGAAGATAAAGCATTCTCTAATTGTTTACTTTTTACCGGCAATTGATTATGCGCTATTTATTATACACGTTTCGATCATAGCTGAATGTCGCCAATCGCCATCGTGTAGTTGCGTTTCAACCATCGCATGGCCATCTCGCTGGGCCAGCGCTGGCCCATCGTGTAGAGGAGCAATTAGGGTGCAATTATTGCACCCTAAGGTTGGTATGAAAAGCGGTGCATTATAAATAATTCGCGGCGCGGCGGTTCAAGTCGCGTCTGCAGCAGCAGCTGTATACAGTCAATATAATGTATGGTTTTTGGACTGTACAAGAACATTTATGAAAATACAAAAATGATTTTTCATTCACCCATTCATTCATTCATTCATTTGAATTACTTGTTAATGTTATATTGATGCTATTGGTTTGTTATACTTGTGGTTGTATATTTGTCTTAAGTTATATGTTTTTGGCATGTTAGGAAGTAAGGGAGCAATCATTTCTGCCAACTAATTGCTGAGCAGTTTTACAAACTGTGTAAAGTTCTATTTTGTTAAATAAATAAATAAAAATAAAATAAAATAAAGTGGAAGAAGCTGACACTGTAGTGCCCCGGGTCGGAATTGAGAATAGTATTCCATATGAGGCCGAACACGCGCTTTGTAAATGAGTGTCATATCCATGTTGACCACCGTGCCGTTGTTTAGTATATACTGGCATAACCAGAGACGTAATGGTAGGTGAACGCACGTGTCCAAGCAGCAGAGAAAGCGATCTCGAGGATGACGGGTCTACTGACGCAGCTGGCTGCTGCTGGTGCCATGCCCGAAGATCTTGCGCAAAAGCTGAACGATGTCAAATTGGAACTTGCAGCGGGAAGCGTTGGGGGGAGCGACAAAGGTGGGTTTGCCATTTGGTTAGCAGATTATATTCGTTTTAGTTATTAGTTAGTTATTATAGCTTTGGTGCTAAACAAAATTTAATTTCTGGGTAGTCGTCATCTTAAAGGAAAGAATTTCTTTTTGTATGGAAGTGGGGCCCATCACAAATTTTTATGTTTTTTAATAAAATGCAAATCTATTTATTCCTTATAATCTATAGGTTACAATAGTGTTATTAGTTTTACTGCGTCTAAACGGAGTGACTCAGTGGATTAGCAATAATATGCAGTGCTGAAAACCGCGGGTTCTAATCCTTTTCCTTAGAAAAAGTTCTTGACAGATGGACAGACGGAGATCCTGTAAAGGTTCTGTTTTTCCTCTTGAGGTACGGAACCTTAAAAATAAATATTTCTTTATTTGTTCGTTTCATTGTTTTCCTATTACGATGAATATTTCGCGAGTCGGCGAATGTTTTTGGCATTAAGCGAAGTGTATGGTTGTATCACGAATGGCTCAGCTCGACCGGGGTAGGATTACGCTCCATAGAATACCAACGTAAAATATCAGCTTAATGCCGCCGTATTTTTTATGGTGAGTGTAGGGAACTGGAGACCCATTTTACTGGACAGGAAGTTTTTTTATAGGATAAGGATGACAAACGAGCACACAGTCCACCTGATGGTAAGTGGTTGCTGTGGCCCATAGACGTCTACATCAATCCTCGATAACAAATCAAAATGCGGATGCGCTGTCACCCGTGAGTACTTAGACGGAATGCCTCTATTCCAGTAAAAAAGTTCTCCGGTTATCTACACTCCACCATACGAAACGCTGCAGCGTTGAGCTGCTATTTTACGCTGGTAATCTGTGAGAGCGTGGTCCTTCCCCGGTCGAGCTAACACATTCATGCTGCAACTATGCTATTAATATAACTGCAGCATGGCTCTACCAAGTCTATATTATGTATTATTTTATCTTAGTCCTGAGGGGTCACATCGCATCTGCATCCGTATAAGATTTACACATTACAACCTCTACTAAGAATCAAAATGCAGGTGCATTGTCACCCCTGGGGACTAAGATGGAATCTATTATTTTCAGTAGAAAGCTTTAAGATGCTATTTTGCGCTAGTATTGTGTGAGTGATGACCTGGTTAAACATGTAGGAAGTCTTTGTGGCGTTTCCTTCGGGAAGAGCTAAGTTCAGCAGTGGAATTGTGAAGGGCTGTAATAATGATGATGACGATAATTCTGTAAGAGCGTAGTCTTACCCGGTCGAGCCGACCCATTCGTGCTAAAACTTAGAGTAACAAGAGTGTACCTGTGCTCGCACATACACTCAGGCACTATAATCCTGTAATAAATATCTATATTATTTCGAATTCCATCTTCCAGTAGAAAACTTTATAGGCAAACTTTTTCTTTTTACTTCATCGTCTGTGTGGTAAAGTACGTCACGTGAGTCGGATCCTGGTGAGTCCAGAGTGACCTTTCCTGCGACTCAATGTATTTATGTATACTGTATATTGTTTTTAATTTGTTATTTTCTATTGTGTTGTGGTGACTACATGACCTCTGTAATGGTTCCAGTCGCCGGGGGGCTATGGCCCAGGCGCGGGCGGGAGGTGGAGCCCGCTGTCCGACTTCGTCACGCGTCCTGATCTGGAGTTAGTAGCTCTTTATCTAGAATTAAGAATTAATTAGTAAACTGGCAATGAGCTGCCATGTAGGCGTTAGTTGGATTTTGTGGTGGATGCTCGTTTGTCAACTTGAATAAAAAAGTATCGTAGCGGGGAGACTTAGCCACGGCGTGTTGGCGAACTTTTAAAACACCCAAATTATTTTTAAGAGGAATAGCGTATAAAGGCAAAGATAAACTTAGATATAAGTCCGCAGTAGAACAAGAGTAACCGACATAGACGAGCGTTTTAATAAACTGAAGTGGTAACTGACCGGCCATACAGCTCTCAGAACCGACAGCCGATGGGGAAAAAGGTTCTCGATTGGCAGCTCCGTACCAGTAAGCGAAGTGTAGGGCGTTCCCCCAGATGGAGTGACAACCTGGTTGGACATGCAGAAAGTTGATGGATGCAGGCGGCTTAGAACCGTGCTTTCGTGGCATTCTTTGGGGGAAACTATGTTCAGCAGTGGACTTGTAACGGGCTGTGATGATGATGATTATGATGATAATTAAATTAATCAGACGTTACTTTGCGGAAATCTATTATATTAAAGATGTCAAAAATTAATAAGTACTTCACGCCCTAACTCTTAAAACTAGGTAAAACAAATAATTTTATTTTTATACGCATATCTTAACTAATGACTGCAGTAATTTGGTAAATCAATACTTAAAGTTCCAATTCATTACTTCAATTGTAATAAAGAAGCATCCATTGAACGTCGTCGCCAGTACGTGAACATGTCACACAGTTTAAAGACGCCTACTTAGAAGAATCAAGAACAACACGATTTTAGAGGACGCGAAATACAATGTTGTGACCAGGATTAAGAAAGGAATGCTTCGGTGGTTTGGTCGTGTAGAAAGAACGAACGAGGAAAAAGTGAGAAAGCAAGTTTATGTTGCAGAAATAGATGGAAGAGTCGGGAAGGGACGCCCTAGACGAAAGTTTATCGACCAAATAGGCGATATATTGAACATGGACCAGATTAAGAGTGTCCTTAACTGACGAATATGTATGCGTAGATATATAAATGTAAAGGAAGCGAGAAAGGTGTGTCACAATCGTGCCAAATACAATTCCGTAGTCTCTGCCTACTTCTTTAGGTGACAGGTGAAAACGTAAACACTCCCGGTATTTGTTTTTTTTTGAAGTTTAAAATACAACATTTCGTAACTGTTCGTCAGTGAAACGATGCAGTCGCTGAAGGCCGACATGATGCATACCATCCAGCAGATCACTAGCAAAGCTAGCGCTGCAGCTGAGAGTGCAGCCAAGACCTCCAGGATTGTCTGTTAGTTCTTATTTTTACCCATCGGCCTATTTTTTTTTTACATAAAAGGCGGCAAACTTATGTGAGTGTATGTTATGCGACTCACCTGATGGCAAGTCAATACCACTGTCCATGAACAACTGTAACATCAGGGAAACCGCAGGTGCGTTGCCCGCCTTTAAAAATGTAGGCTCATTTCTTGGCAGTTTAGTCGTATAGGTCCGAAAAATCGCTGGTGGTAACCGATTGTGAACCGATATGTGTTGATATGGACCTCCCCCGTTGCAAGGAGGATTTCCATAATCGCCACGTTTTTTTAAAGAATATTAACAATGCTATAAACATTACTAATATTCCCCTTAACCACTCGTAGTAAGCTTAAATTGCTTGTGTTACGAGCAACGATTTCAAAAGGAAGGATAGGCCCATCTAAATATTTTACTTATAACTTTTTCATACAAGAAAAAGTAGCGAATCTGTCATAATTAAAACGTCACATCATAACACAACGTAACCAGGGTCGGATTTCGTAGCATCCTCCTTATCCTAATTGTATCATTATTTCATAGTTTGTAGTACATAGTATCGTAATAATACTTAGCGAAAATACCATAATTTTATCTAAAGGTCGACTTGTCTTATTATTGGGTCCTTTTACTTTTTAATATTAACCCTACGATATCGAGAATTTCTGTATTGTACATGAGTACCGTGTTTTAAACCGTTAATAAAATTAGAATTACAAAGTAAGAGGAACAAAAAACTAAAGTTTAGAAACAAAGCCAAAAGCATTCTGAGTGAGATTGCGAGGTTCCATGGGCAGCTGTACACATCATCGTTGGAGCCACACGCAAGTGTGAGTAACGATCCAAGAGCAAGTCTTATCCGACACTATTACAATGATATCCCAGACGTCAGTCTGAGCGGGATTAGAATGGCCCTCCAGCACCTTAAAAACGGCAAGTCCCCGGGCGAGGATGGAATTACAGCGGAGCTTCTGAAAGCGGGTGGAAAACCGGTACTTGAAGTCCTTCAGAGGCTCTTCAATTCTGTCCTCTATGGTGGCACTACTCCGGAGGCGTGGAGCAGAAGTGCGGTGGTCTTGTTCTTCATAAAGGTGACAACGCCCTCTTGAAAAACTACAGACCGATATCCCTTCTGAGCCACGTCTACGTGCTGTTTTCGAGAGTCATTACGAATCGTCTCGCACACAGAATCGACGACTTCCAGCCTCCGGAACAAGCCGGTTTCCGAAAAGGCTTTAGTACCATATACCACATACATACCCTTCGGCAAATTGTACGGGAGTCAGAAGAATACAATCTGCCACTTTGCCTGGCGTATGTGGACTATGAGAAAGCCTTTGATTCCGTCGAAATTTGGGCTGTGCTACAGTCTCTTCAGCGGTGCCAAGTTGACTGTCGGTATATCGAAGTGCTGAAGTGTTTGCACAGTAGGGCTACGATGGCTATCCGAGTACAGGACCAGAGTACGAAACCTGTCCAACTGCAGAGAGGTGTAAGACAGGGTGATGTTATATCCCCGAAACTCTTCACCGCTGCGTTGGAAGACGTTTTCAAGCTCCTGGACTGGAAAGGATACGGTATTAACATCAATGGCGAGTACATCACTCACCTTCGATTTGCCGACGATATAGTCCTCATGGCAGAATCGCTGGAGGACCTTAGCACTATGCTCAATGACCTCAATGGTGTCTCCCAACGGATAGGTCTTAAGATGAACATGGACAAAACAAAGATCATGTTTAATGTCCATGTCACACCTATGCCGGTAGTTGTTGGGAGCACTATGCTCGAAGTTGTTGACGAGTACGTTTACCTGGGACAAATAGTCCGATTAGGTAAGTCCAACTTCGACCGAGAGGTCAATCGACGGATTCAACTCGGCTGGGCAGCGTTCGGGAAATTACGACACATCTTCTCGTCAGGTATACCTCATTCTCTGAAAACTAAAGTGTATAACCAGTGCGTGTTGCCAGTGATGACTTACGGATCTGAGACGTGGTCCTTCACCGCTGGCCGTATGAGGACGCTCAAGGTCAGCGAGCTATGGAGAGGGCTATGCTCGGAGTTTCACTGCGTGATAGACTCAGAAATGAGGATATCCACAGTAAAACCAGAGTGACCGACATAGCCCAACGGATTAGTAAGCTGAAGTGGCAATGGGCCGGCCATATACCTCGAAGAACCGATAACCGATGGGGAAGAAAGGTTCTCGAGTGGCAGCCTCGTACCGGTAGGCGTAGTGTAGGGCGACCCCCCACTAGATGGAGTGACGACCTGGTAAGACATGCAGGAAGTCGATGGATGCAGGTGGCTCAGGACCGTGCTTTGTTGCATTACTTGGGGGAGGCCTATGTACAGCAGTGGACTTGTGAAGGGCTGTAATGACGATGATGATGATGACCTGCCTCCAACTTTTGTTGTTCAAGTAACCGTACTTTACATATGTTTCTAAATAAATTTGTATTTACGATCTCCTGCAAAGGAGGAGGTATATTGTTCCAAATTTTGGAGGCAGCATATTTGAAACATCCTTTTGCTTTAACACGCTTATAAGTTGGAAGTATATTCCCTCTTAAAGCCATCGGTTGGTGGACGAAAGGGAACTGGCCTGACTGACGTTAGAAAATCTATCAAAAAATTCTTTAGCTGTCATAAACTGGTAACCACATTACCAGTGATTGAGAGCCTTTATGTTTTTTTTTATAGGATAGGGCAACGAACGAGTACACAGTCCATCTGATGGTAAATGGTTGCTGTGGCCCATAGATATCTACATCTATCCTTAATTACGAATAAAAATCATCCTTGAGTTACCTGTGAGGACTAAGATGGAATGCCTCGTTTCCAGTTAAAAGGGTATTCGATTCTCTACACTCACCATACGAAACGTAGTAGCATTAAGCTACTATTTAACGCTGATATTCTGTGAGAGCGTGGTCCTGCCCCGGTCGAGCCGGGCCACTCGTGCTACAATTATACTAACAATATGACTGTGGCATGGCTCTACCACGTATATATATATACACCTCCAAACCAGATTTCAGTCACAGCGGCCAGTTTCAACGAAGACTTACCGTCTGCGCAGGATCAGTGCACGAGTGTATGCGCAGGCACAGGTGCACTCTTTATTCTCTCACTCTCATAGTCCGATGAGACGATAATCCGACACTCAACCGGAGAAAGATCGAGCGCAGTACCATCTTCTTCACGAGGCACTTGCCAGCTTCCTGAGTCCGGGTTGCCAATCAGAATTTTTTGTCAGGAAAACTCAATAACTGATTCTTTGGCCTACTCTGAGATTCGTACCCGGGAACTTATGATCAGCAGTTGCGTTTGCGACTACCTAGAACAACGAGGCAGTCAAGGGGCCTTTAGATATGTTTTAGGGTTGCGATCAGTCGTGTTGGAGGCTTAGAACATCTGTAATGTGAGTCCGATGGCTCAAAAGTACGTTCGAGTCTTCGTTATTTCTTTGCAACCGTGCTGCATTTTGTAAGCTAGTAAGTACTGCCCCAGAGATGTGCTAACTATGCAAAGCGATGAACGTATACTCCGGGAGCTCTCGTCTACGCTGACGTGGATTTTAGTCGGAAACCAACCTCAATATAACTTTAAATTAAACAATTTTTGCTATATCTATTTGGGGTATCTTAAAGTCTGCGTAGATCGGACCATAAATTAATATTCAAAAGTTTAAGGTAGTCGGGATAACTATGACATCAGGACTTTAAACATCTCAGCCCCCCCCCCCCCCCCCAGTGACCATGGGTGCTGTATTGCACCCGAAATGTCATGAATTAAAAAGTTAAAATTAAACGCGATAAAATGCGTAAAATTAGTTTCATTTCATGTGTAGTATTTGCGTAACTATAAGAAATAATTCAGTATAACGTTTTCGTTGCCCACCCTGTGACGTGCTTATAATGTAAATCGACAAGGAGATCTGGATGCATTCCAAATGGAGATCTGGGAACCTCCTCACTACATTGATGGTGGATTTTAGCGTGACACCGTATTCGGTATAACTTTTTTGCTACCTAGTAGCAGATGTATTCCATGAGAATTACCTCACGTAAAATAAAACATCACAAGTAAATATAAGTAAAGAAGAACATATTTATTTACTTCTGGAACTTTTTCTTACAAAACAATAATTAACAAACAAAAATATTAAGAAAAAAAGATGGATTACAGAAACAAAAAGGCCACTGACTCAGCGTAATGCTATTGTAACAGAGTTACTGCAGCGCTGATATTTTGTTAGAGCCACATAAGAGGACTGACTAGTAATTAGGGATGTGGATTCTTTTCTAAAAAGATCGATTAGGAATTAGGATTTAGGATTTAGGAAAGAACGATTTGAATCGAAATCTGACGAATCGATTCATAAAAAATAGAGGTCTAAAAGATCGATTTATCAAAAATCGATCGAAAAGATACAACAAAGTACAGATTACAAATGTAATCTATTTTTTATTTCTTAAATTCATTAACAGGAGGCGAAAGAAACTGAGCACACAGCAGTTTTGCGAGTTTTGAATTTAAAAAAAAACTGTCATTCTTTACATACAACTAATTGTAAATAATTTTATAGTTCTTATAAAAACACATTGAGCTATTATGTACTACGTACTAGAGGCGACACTGCATTCAGCTACTCTGTTCCACTCAACTGCGGTGCATACACCGCACTTTAATCAGTCACTCGCTAGGTGCTTATAGAGTTGTCACGTGTTGTGTTGATTTAAAAATAATCTCTTGATAAAAATATGTATACTTAGATATTGCACAAATAATTCAAGAAATGTCAGTAAAAACCAAGGAATTACTTTTCATCGGTTAATAAGATACTTAATCAATAAAAACGTATTATGTATTAATATAAATCCTAAGACGTCATCTCGTGTCATGGAATATAGATTATGAAATTAATATGTTCAGATGCGACGTTTCGGTGGGTAGGTACTTAAGTATAGGACGAATATAATATTATCA